TTGTGAAGCTAAAACGCCTTGGTTTCTTTTTACTTCACATCAATTTGTGGAGTGTTTTTCCGTGGGCTAGTGACGCTTCTCCCGCTCGGCAGCTGTTGATGAATTCCAAGTGACATGGGTTTTTCTCTCGGCTGCGTGGCGAGGCAAACCTGGCATCGCTGTATTCCGGAGCCGCTTGCTGAATGCGCCTTTGCTTTCCTGAAAGCTTCTTAACACCTGATTTATTGGATACGTTCGCAGAACAGTCAATGTACATTTTGTAAATAGGTTTTTTGGACATTTTATTCAAAGTAAAGAGATGAAAAATGAGAAATGATTTGGAGAAGAGGGTGGAAAGTCAAACTGGATTTTGCAGATATTTACATAAAATGATATAAATATCAGTTGTCGCTCTTTATCTCCCAATAATGTCTTAGTAAGATGATAATTAAAGCTTAGTTTTATGATCAAAACATGTAATGCAATGCTGACTGAGAGATAAACAAATAAACATTTCTCAAAAGCTTGATGATCAAATTTGATACTCACATTTAAACATGATTAAAAAAAAAGATCTATGGATAATCATATAAACCAAAGTTGCTTCAGTAAGTGTTCATCTTGAAATATTACTGACAATATCAAAGTTATTCTCATGTTTACTTTATAGAAATCAGATTTCACAGCAAAAGGTCACGAGCTGAAGGTGGACGTTTTCACAATTATTCTGAAAGGCCTTTTACCATCTAAAAAATGTGAGCGATCTATCGTTTATCAGGCTACAGAAGTTTTGTTCAGCAAAGTTTTGATCATGTTAGAGGCCTTAGAAATGTGCATATCAAATATGATACAGTAGGCTTTATAGGGTTAAGTGGCGTGTATGCAGGTTTGTATGATATACATTGAGATAATTGACAGCCTTCCTTTTTTGTTCTCCTAAACAATCTTATCACCTCTGTTTCCTGGTCGCTGGGCCTTTTGCAGTGGACATGCATACAGACACACACTTGCACATGTGCTGTAAAACCCCTTAGAGGAGAACATTGTATTGTGAAGCTAAAACGCCTTGGTTTCTTTTTACTTCACATCAATTTGTGGAGTGTTTTTCCGTGGGCTAGTGACGCTTCTCCCGCTCGGCAGCTGTTGATGAATTCCAAGTGACATGGGTTTTTCTCTCGGCTGCGTGGCGAGGCAAACCTGGCATCGCTGTATTCCGGAGCCGCTTGCTGAACGCGCCTTTGCTTTCCTGAAAGCTTCTTAACACCTGATTTATTGGATATGTTCGCAGAACAGTCAATGTACATTTTGTAAATAGGTTTTTTGGACATTTTATTAAAAGTAAAGAGATGAAAAATGAGAAATGATTTGGAGAAGAGGGTGGAAAGTCAAACTGGATTTGAATCCTCATCTCTAATATGAGAAACACGGCTTAATGCATCTGGAGCTTAATGCCAAGTGTGCACAATAAGAATGAAGCATGCCAGATTGTTTATTATTATTATTTTTTTAAAGCAGTTATTTTAATGTCTTTGATATACTATTATGTTTTTTTTTATATTTTATATGGATCAAAAGAAATGTACAAAAGTGATTTTATGTCCATAGAAAGCACATTAAATGCAAGTAAAGTGTCTACTTTTAAGGTTTCAAATACGTTTTTTGAGGATAAAATGTCAAAATTTGGTTGAAATAATGTTACATTGTCATTCAGTGTAACACAATATTTATGTAAAAATTCAAACAACATGCTTATTCTGACTTGTACATATTAAAATATATAAAAGAATAAGGGAGCATATTAAATTTCATTGTTTTAAATGAGTAAAAAATTCTTACTGACAAACGGGCAAAACCTAGGATTTTTTACATTTTAATTTTAATAAACTAATTTGTATTTGGGGTGAAAGTAATTAGTCTTTTAATATGTAATAAATTGATTTTTGTTGTAAATATGCCCGACAAGATTGCCTGACACTGAATGACATTTTAGTGGGTCTCTTCTGTGAATCAGGGAAAAATGTATGATATTAATTTTTGCTCAGAAAAACAAAAACAAAATTGCAATTAAATTTAAAATATATATATTTAAATTTTTGGGGGGAACAACAACAACAATTTAAAGCAGTATTACACTTATTGTTTTTATGCTGAAACCCATTTTTGTCTTTGACCCATATAAGATTTAGTTTATTTTCTCTTTTCATTTTCAGTTTTAGTATTGAGTAATTTTGTTATGTTTCCTTCATTTGTATTTATTATTTATTTATTTAGCTGTTTTAGTACTTCAATTTAAAGCAAATGCCTTGGCAACACTGTATGTAAACACTGTCAAATTAAAGCAAATAAATGGGGTTGCATGATAATTGTGATATAGCTTTGTACAATTATCAAATCTATGATGTGCTGGGTGTTTCTGAGTGAAGCACACAGCACATATATTACACATTATTATTTATTGTATTAACTTTTTTTGGTACTTTTTTATCATTTGCAATAATAATTGTAATTTATAACAGTAATATATTTCTCTTTATTTTTTTATTAGAGTTAAAACATACTTCTACTAATAACATTTTATTCAGTTATGTAAGACTTTAGTATTATTCGACATTAAAGAAATGAACGTGCAAATGCGTTATTCAATTATTGAAATATTAACTTAAAATCTTATAAATATTACAGATAATTTGAATGATTTTGGCTGACAAAAAAAGTTTAGGAAACCCTATTTTACAGGAACAAATTTGTTCAGGAACAATAACTACGTTTGGAGCAACATGAGGGAGAGCAAATAAGGTTGAACAGGACCAGGGTTGCCAAATATACACACAATGTATTCAAATTACAAAAAGATGCAAACAACAGCACTTTACATGATTAAGCATCTAAGCAAACCATGTGTAAAACTTCTTTTGGCCCACTAATTCGTCTTTGATATGATAACACTGACATGTTTGTGTAAAGACCGAGCTTTAATGAGTTTACACCAGCATATCTCTCTGTTTACCAGCCACTCGATAAATAACAGCCCCAATTAATCCCAGCATCTCATTATCCCACATCTCATTAACCTGCATTCTGCTTGAAGTGAGATGTATTTAAATACTGTGTTCTGGAAGGTTGTGAAGAAATGGAGCAGGGATGGAGGAGAGCAGGTGTTTTTGCTAAGGGCGGCTGGTGGTTGGGGGTCTATAAGCCACAAGGCGTATATAAATCACAGCACAATAGCTCACTAGAGTGTATTATAGGTAATAATATCAGCCGTGCTGGAACAGCTGAGGTTATAGATTGTGGATGTGTGCAAGGATGTTGGCAACCTCAGGAAGGTGTAGAAAAGAAGCAGCGTTTGCCAAATCCAGGATTGCTGACATCGCTGCTCAAACTCGGTATCGTGTGCCAAATGCCTCATCTGGTTCCAGAGCGCAGTGATGTGGCTTTAGGTTTTAATATGTGAAATCACTTTGCTAATGAAGCTCTGTTGGCTTGTAGTTCTTCAGTGGTTCTTCGCAGCATCTTAGGTTCCTCAGTGAACCCTCTTCTTTCGCTGCACAGGTTCTTTATTGGCATTGATGGTTTCATGAAGAACATCCAACATTCGTAAAACCTGCACAAAAGGTTCTTTACAGTGGAAAAGGTTTTTTAGATGATTCAAATGTTTTATGCAATCTTAAAAAATAAAGGTTCTTTATTGGCATCAGTGGTTCCATGAAGACGGTTACCTTTATTTTTAAGACTCTCTATGGTTATTTGATTATTATAAATGGTCATGATGTTTCACTCTTACAAAAAAACACTTCGAAAAGGGTTTCATAGAACCATGACGCCATAGAACAACCATTTTTTGGTTTCAGTTAACAGTTCTTGAAAGAACATTTTTTCTTAGTGTGAAGAACTTTTTAAAAATGTAAATAACCTTTTTCCATTATAAAGAATGTTTTGTCCAATGGAAACATTGCATGAATGTTAAATGTTCTTTATGGAATCATCAGTGCCAATAAAGAAGTTTTAACCTTTTAACAGCGCATATAGTTATTTGAAGATTATAAATGTTCTTGATGTTTCATTATACACCAGGGGTGCCCAAACTCGGTCCTGGAGGGCCGGTGTCCTGCAGAGTTTAGCTCCAACTTGCCTCAACACACCTACCTTTAAGTTTCTAGTATGCCTATTAAGAGCTTTATTAGCTGATTTAGGTGTGTTTAATTGGGGTTGGAGCTAAACTCTGCAGGAAGGTAGATCTCCAGGAACAGGGTTGGGCACCCCTGGCATAGAAGAACCATTTTTGGTTCCCTAAGGAACCTTTCAGTGAACAGTTCTTAAAAGAACCATTTTTTTAGTGTGAAGAACATTATAATGATCTAAAGAACCTTTTTCCACCATAAAGAACCTATTGTGGAGTAAAAAGATTCCATGGATGTTAAATGTTCTTTATAGCAGTGGTTCCCAACCCTGGTCCTGGAGGCACCCCAACACTGCACATTTTGCATGTCTCCTTTCTCTGACACACCAATTTCAGGTCTTGGAGCAGGGGTGCCCAACCCTGTTCCTGGAGATCTACCTTCCTGCAGAGTTTAGCTCCAACCCTGAATAAACACACCTGAACCAACTAATTAGGATCTGAAAGTGCACTTGATAATTACAGACAGGTGTGTTTGATCAGGGTTGGAACTGAACTCTGCAGGAAAGTAGATCTCCAGGGCCAGGGTTGGGCACCCCTGCTCCAAGACCTGAAATTGGTGTGTCAGAGAAAGGAGACATGCAAAATGTGCAGTGTTGGGGTGCCTCCAGGACCAGGGTTGGGAACCACTGCTTTATAGAACCCTTTATTCCAATAAAGAACCTTTATTTTTAAGAGTGTAGGTCAGTGGTTCCCAAACCTGTCCTGGAGGCCCCCCTGCCCTGCAGCTTTTGTATGTCTCCCTTATCTAACACACCTGATTCCACTCATGAGCTCGTTAGTAGAGACTGCAATAACTAAATTGGGTGTCTGAGTAGGGAGACATACAGAATGTGCAGGATCCTCCAGGACAGGTTTGGGAACCACTGGTGTAGGTGCTTCAGATCAGTGATTTCTGGGTTCTTTTAAGCACCAAAATATAGATGTTTTACTAAATATTCTCGCATAGCATCAAGCTGTTTTTTTAAAGACTGTTTAATTTCATGTAAGAAGATTTAGTGCATTTGTATAAAACTCACCCAAATATTTCCGAAGCTGTGCTAGCTTTTTATGCGACTTTCTGGATTTCATGGCTCAGTGCTATTGAATTCGCTTTAGCCATTAATACAATAATGCATTCAATGTCCTTAATGTCCCAGCATAGAAAATGACATTTAGGGCACATTGATGCACTGCCCCCAACAACTGACCCTACCAGAAAGACATGCACCGGCTCTTGATCTATTGTAGTCTGTGACCAAGCGTTTCTGCAGGTCTTAATTCACCCTTCCACAAATTAGAGCCTTAAAAAAGTCTTAAATCAGAGCTGAAGGTCTTAAATTCCTAAAGTCATGGCCTTAAACGTTGCATGCATTGCAAAAAATGAATATCTTCCTTAGCATTTTTTGTCTTGTTTTCCAATGCAAACGTCTAAACATCCTTAAATCAAGATACATTTACTTGAGAAAGAAAGTGTGGACATGAAGACTGATTTCTTTTCTAACAAAATACAAATATAGCAATAAAGGTTACCTTGAAAAGGTAATTTTTCTGACACCACTGGCAGCTATTTGTTATGGTTTTAATCATAAACTCTCTTCATTTTGATACATTTCTTCCATTTATTGCTTAAATAGTGTTTACTCCATCTTTAAAAGGCTTAAACTTACTTTCAAAACTTGCAGAAACCCTGTAAATACTGGTTCAGCTGTAGATCCAAATGCCTCCCTTTATTGTTCCATCAATGCGTATCTCTGTCTGCATTGAATGTTATTTGTATATAGTTTAGTTTAGAATTGCAAGCATTTACATTCAAGTGCAAGGCTGACATTTTTGTCAGCGTCAGCATTTCCGTTTAAATCCAAGCAGGGTTTTCAAGCAGCTAATGCAAACACATTTGATTTTTGATGCACATTTCAGTGGAGCCTTCGAAGATCCAGCAGGCCGTTGGAGACGCGTGTTCATACGTGATAGACTTGCTTTCTATGGAAACGGCTGATGAGATGAATAGTGACAGCGCTGGTGAGAGTGTGATGTAATTTCTGATCATCACTCTCCCTCTATTTCCCCTTTACTCTGTCTCTGTGTCCTCCTCTTCTTTTCAGCCCCAGATGGCAATCAGTCATGTCCTCCGTCACCTCGACATTTTCAATCAGCGGTTCGAGCGTCTCTGTGGGGACAGAATAGAATTTGCCCAACACGCCGGAAAGAGCAGTGCATCGACTCATTAATGATATGACATGCTCTAATGTCAAAAGGCACCGAGCAGATTTCACTTTCGCTGGAGATAAAGTGCAAAACAGCTGTTGAAATTGCTCTACCTTTGAAAATTATTTCCTGACCGATGCGTCTCCGTATGCGCAGCACGGTGTTCCTCTAAAATCCCCTCTGTTGGTTGATTGTGATTGGGTAATCATACGGACAAATGGGGCCGCTGGGAGCTTTTGGTCATATATTTAAGCATTCGGTGCTTCAGATTTGTTTGGCTGCGCGCTGGGTGTAATTGACTATTGTGCTTGTGTGCTTTAGGACAGGCTGCGAGATGTACGGCAAGCAGATGGAGTCCGCCGCTGGTATCGAGGAGCTGACGGACGAGGAGAAGGAAATTATAAATGGCGTGCTGGCGAGAGCCAAGATGATGGAGGCCATGGAGCAAGAGAGGATTGGGTGAGACATTGACTTGAAGTCGTGCTGTTGTTCTGCTCAATCACCTTTATTTCTGTTGCGCTTCATACAATACAGATTGTTTCAATGCTGATTCATAGTAAGAAACAGGAAAAATAACAGAATCAATTATGCAAACTTCTTCAAATATGAGACAAATTCAAACCCTGCTGTAAAGTGGCTCTAAAGAGACATTTTTTTTAGTTCATTCAGTTCATTGTTGATTCAGTTCAGTTCAATCACAGTGTCAATGTTGCAAAATCCATCCATTATGAAACGAATTCAGAATACATTATTCAGCTCAATTTACACCTAAACTCAAAGACACCAGTGAGATTAAATGAAGTATGAACAAAAAGTCCCGTACAAGTTTCAGAAGAGATATCAGTAAAGCGCAGGACACACCAAGCTGATGGTCGCCAATGTCGAGTGGTTTTATAGCATCGGACGGCTTTAGTTAATTTTTTTAGTTTCATGCTGGCTCTAGTCGGACGCCGTCAGCTGTTTTTCAGCCGATTCTGCATGTCGAATCGGTGCCGGAGCTCGTCTGCGAGAAAGAGAACTCCGATTGGCTAGTCAGTTTAGCGAATGAGCGCACGAGAAAAAACTGAACTGACGAAAGCAAACCAATAACGGCGTACAGAGGAAACGCACAGACACTTGTTGTCATTCTATCCGTTTCTTTATCCACAAGACGACGACCAAGGGCTGACAATGCCAAAGTCAGAGATCTCAGTGTGAACATTTCTCATCAGATTCTTCTCAGATCGAAATCCCCATATCCTCGTATTCATTTTGTAGCTTTGTATGTCAGTTATTGACTCATTTGTGTCTATTTTTATCTGTCCCAAGAAAAATTAAGTGTAACAACTGAGACAACCTTGATATTTTAGGTAAAGTAAATCATAATGGAGAGCTCCATTAGGTCTCTTCAGATAAAAAAAGAGCCATGTTTATGCAATGAAACGTTCCTCTGCCAGTAGGAAAGAAAAAGCACGAATTAGATGTCTTTATTGTCTCAACTGTCTGTTGTAGATAGCAGTAAGATTAAATGGAGACCAAATGAGACTTTGCTGACTTTCCTCTTTCTTAGCATTTGTTTTACACTATCCATGATTTTTTAAAGTTCTCTGCCTCAATAATTGTCTAATTTGTGTCCATTTTTATTCCCCATAAGGCATTTTAGGGGAAACATCTGAGATGAAGTTTATACTTTTGGTAAAAAAAATCATAATAGAGCACTCCATTAAGTCTCTGTTAATGTCTGTGCAATGAAATATTCCTCTGTCCAAGAAAAACTGTCCCAAATGTCTGTTTCAAAGAGTAATACAATCAAACAAGAGACCCAATGTCTGAAGCTTCTTGCTTGTTTGGTTTTGTTTTATGTAGTCCACATGATTTATTTTTACCTCCCTTACTCCTATTATACGTGTCATTTGTGTCCATTTTAATTCCTCAAATGGCATGACACCTGGAACAAAGTTGATATCAAAAGTTGGGGTTTGAAAGACAATCAATATTCAGCAATATTATCGACTTAATGCACTGACACTATTGGATGAGAGCAAAATTTGAACTGCATTGAGCTGAATAATGAAACCAACTTTGCAACTTACAGTTATTCAACTGAATTGATTCAACATTGAACTAATTATTGTCTTCTACAGAGCTGCTTTACAGCTAAACTTGATTTCATTTCAGAATTGCTGAATTTGATAACATTAGCACTATTAGTTTCCTGTTTATTAATGTGAAGCTGCCTTGAAGCAATCTGTACTGTATAAATAAATGACTTGACTTGAAACTTGTGTAATTTCTGAAAAGAAACGCATTTCACTTTTCCCGAACACTCTGTCTTCCCTTGGTTAACCAAACAGGTTTTCATAGAAACGTATTATCTTCAGGGTCACATATGCTATCACATTATCGCACACAGGACTGGACTCAGTAGCTCCTGTAGCAAAAGCAATACTGACCAACACCTGAGACCCCTGTGACAGAGGGACAAAATCATCGGTTCACAGTTTCCCCTCATTCCGCAGAGCAGTTCAGCCCGGGCACATCTGTCCAAGTGATTGAGAAGCCGAGTGTGCTTAAGCTTTTTTACAAGCCAAGAGCCAGCCGAGGAATGTACTGCAAGAAATTAATAGTGCTAACTAGACAAGAACTGCCTACTTTCTCATTCTCTCTCGCTCTTTCTCAGCACTTTGCTTGCGAAACGTCTTAACTCACAGTTCTTTACATCAATACATTACAATAACGACTTGCTGGAGGGGAGGAAGTGTGCTGATGTTATACTTGGTCGTTTTTCGTCCCGCAGGCGTCTGGTAAATCGCCTGGACAGCATGAAGCGGACGGCCTGTGGTGACGGCTACTCGCGTTGTTTACTCTGCAGCCAGCAGTTCGGCCTGGCGGGCGTCAGCGCGGTCGTGTGCGCCGAGTGTAAAAAGGTAGACATGCATTCGCCAAGCCTTTGACCTCATGCAATTTTCTAATGCATGCCGAGCACTTCTTCCCTTAACGATTGTCCAGAAATAGCCAAGCAGAAATGAATGAGCGATATGCACTTATCTTTATTATGCCCTGCCCATTACTGAGCCACGTGTGCATTTGAGAGGGAAGCCAATCAGTCTGCATGATCGAAAATAATGACACGGTCACAATGCATATGTCTGTCTTTTGCCATGTATGACCCCAAAGATCAATGAACTGTTTATTGACCCCAGAGGGGATGTTTAGTGTGTGGCTGTTTTTAGTGATGGAACTTAATGCCATCTGAGCAGCCTCCTGAGGCCTGTTTATGTTTCACCCCCACAGAACATGTGCACCAAGTGTGGCGTTCAAAGCGTCAGTCATTCCAGTCCAATATGGCTGTGCAAAATCTGCAGCGAGCACAAAGAGGTGAGATGCATGGAGGCATATCTGAATTGTGTTAGAGCAATAATAGTTCAGCCAAAACCTAAAATTGTCATCATTTTGATGTTCTTTCCACACTAACGGAGAATTTTGCGTCTTATCCGTTTCAGACAATTCATTGTGATCATGACTTTCAAGCTCCAAAAAGCGCCATAAAAGCATCATTAAAGTAGTCCATGCGACATGTGCTAAAATCTAAGTCTTCTGAAGTCATATGACAGCTTTGTATAAGAAACTAATTTAAGTCGTTTATTTATTTATGCAGCTCTTAAATTTCGAATTGCCTTTAGATGTGTTGTATCAAGTTTGATGATGTTGATGCAGTGTTATTTTAGACATATTATTATAGTTTTTGTTAATAGTTTGAATTAGATTTTATTTTTAAAGATTCTTTTGGCAATTTATTTTTAGTTAATTTGAGTGATTTTGATGTTTTTTAATTATGTCTATATAGAATTTATTACATTTTATTTAGTTATTTTAGTACTTAAACTAAACAACAATTAGAAATGTTGCCTTGGCAACTTGCTAAAATAAAATAAGTAATTTTATAAAATAGATTTTTTTTTAAAATATATATATTTTATATTTTGTTTTATTTAACAATATTAATCCTGGTATGTTGTAACCAAAAATGGTGCACTGATTTGAATATGCAAAATCAGAAGAGCACAAGTCATATGGATTAGTGCTTTTTATCACTGTGATCACTATAAACTGTAATTTTACGGAAATAAGCTGCATAAATATCGATATAAAAAAATTTAAATCCCAAAAATTCTTTCATACTATATGAAAAAATGACAGCATTTTAATTTGAAACAACATGAGAGACATTTTCTGTTAGGGTGAATTATTCATCAAACTTGATATGGATGTAACTGCACTGTGAATCCTTCATGTTTAAACATCTGCTTTGCAGAGGCTTTTATTTCAGAAAAGGGTGTGCTTTAAAAAAAAGTGTTTGTTTATGCATATCTGCACTTACCTGGCATTGATGAGATCCTTCGTTTTGACGGCTGAGCAGACGTTGCGATGCTTATGCAGCGATGTGCATGTCCGATTGAGCAAATCCATTTCTACAACATTTTTAAATCAAGCCCTAAAAAAATTATAAATAACATTTCACTGGCTGCACAGAATAATTATTCTGTGTGTATCTCAGAGATGTAAATAGACAGGATAGTTCAGCACCTCCAACTTTCACAGACACTTTGTGATAAGATGATTCATCCTTTTGACGATGTAGGTCTCGAATAGTTTGGTTGTCAGACGGGGTCAGTAGCAGCAGGAGATGTGACTCTCTTTAATGCAACAAGATCGTGAAACCCGAATCCCATTTGCGTTTAATCCATTGAGTCGCTGACATTTTACTTCATAACACCAGGGCAGAATTGAGTTCCTGCATTTACATATTCCTGCCATTCCAGCTCCCAGCTGATGCTTATTTGGATGGCAATTGGCTGAGATGAGATTCACAGGTGCCGTAGAAGAAAACATAGTAACATGTAATGCAGCATTGTTTTTGCAATTACCTGGGTAACATAGCAATCCATCCTATTTTTCAGAGTCTATGAATTCTAGCTAATGCTGTTGCTTCTGAGATTCAATTGGGTTTGAAATTGCTTCGCTTTTTTGTAACTTTAAAGCATATCAAATTACTTGGTGCTTGGAGAGTGGAACAGCAAATATGGAG